AATAAAACACCTGTTTTTAAGGTTTTGTAGTGAGCAGGCCTTTGATAAGTACCTTGCTGACTAGCTGCCAGCTACTATTAGCTTGTGGCCACATGTGCAAGCTAGAGCAGAGCTAACAGGTAATTAGCGCAACAGATTGTGAAGTATTACACAGTTGTTTACACAGCAGGTCACCATTCACTTAAACTCTAACTTGTTTTTGGTTGCTAAACAGATATTAACCCATTCCAGCTAATAAACATGATCAAATTAAGCTGAAAAATCTTATCGGCTGTTTCTTGGCAACACTAGATGCTAGCTGTTTACTGTGTGAAGGATTCACTCTGCAGTTTGTACAGCCTCTTCTCCTCCAGGCACTAACTAAAAAGGAGATCTTTACTCTTTAAAACTGGGTAATTACAATTTAAAATTGTTTATTGTTGGTAAAGAACATGAAAAATCCAAATCATTCACTCATTCAAAGACTTTTCCTGGATCAGTCATACAAATATTTTTTTAGTCAAACTAGTTAAGAGTCTAAAATCTCAATAAAGATTACACCAAAGTACTTATTTTTAAAGTGCTGATGGTTAACAGTTGCCCCCAAAAGAAGTAAAACATAAACCCCAACATATGGCAAGGTCTGACAGACAGTTCGACTTGGGAACTTTTTAAAATCTTCAGCGCTTTGTAAGCATGTATAATTTGATGATACAGCATGCAATGGTAACAGTAATGATCATATTTACCTCTTATTATATGACACACTGAGTTGAAACTGATTTTCTCTAAAAACACACTACACAAAGAAACACAACATTGCGTGTCAACAGGAACGGGCTTTATCCACTGAAAAGATGTCACCCTTTGATGATGTGCCTTACGCTGTATTTGATCTGTAAGCCGGGGCTTACTCTTCGGTCCTGAGTCCTGACGTCTGCTTGGAGGTACAGTCACTCCTGACATTTGGCCATGTTTTCTGCCATCACAAGCCAACCGTGATGGGGTTAGCAGCTTGCACTGGAAGCGTTTGCTTGTTTAAAGTAAACACTTGATGATTTAATAGCTATCTGTGGCAGCAGGGAAGTGTTGCTTCTCACAGAAGGGGCAGCCAGATTAGCAAGACGTTTAGAAGAGGTTTGAGCGTTTAGAAGAGGGTTGTGAAGTAGTGGGAAAAGTATCTACATGTTTTCTTTCATAAAGGCTCAAGGCTCATTAACTAGTAATGTTATATATTTGAAGTCACACAGATGTAAATAATATGAAATAAGAAATTTGAGTTTTCAAGTCTATAGTTCTCTAACTATTTGCATTATAGTAATTCCGCTATGGTTTTCCAGACTGTTAACACCAGTTAGTAAAGACGAGTCCGATGCTGAGAGAAAGCAAGAAAAGAAGGGAGTAGACAGAAGCTCAGCAGATGTTCACTGAGTCCTTAATTTTACTGAGGAGGCAAATAAGAAACATATCAGTGATAAACCTACAAGATAGAGACTGAACTGTTGCTGAACTGGGCTGATCTTGTGCAAGAATCTTGGACTGACTACTGGCTCCACTCCATCCCTCCACAAATTTAAAAATATTAAATCTCAAGATTCCCATCTCCTGGTTAAATAAAGGTTAAGAGCTGAAAAACAAAATATGAACAGCAAGGAATCTTCACCAAAAAAGAACTGTTAGAACAACTTAATTATAATTATATTATGTCAACTGGAACACATGATTCAATTAAGTTGTTTTTTTAATTAACTCTGTCAGATCAGCCCAGCAGATTTCAGTTACACACAATGCACAAGTGTGCTTTCACTTAAATAAAAACAGCAACAAAATTAGTGTAATTTCAAGTTATAGATAGAAACCCAGCAAATACACCACCATCACCAAAGCAGAAGATTGAATTAGAATCATTTAAAACACTGCACTAACTACAACCAAATACCTCTTTTTATAATGTGTCTTAATATGTGCTGAATTGTTGATTTAAAACAATCTGCCAGGAAGGGAGATGCTTGTGTCAAAGTGTTACAGTTCAGGAATTTCCTTTCTTTTCGCCCTAAATATGTCTGGTACCCGGGTCAACATCTGTTACTTAAAAAACAGAGTGGATATATTTAGCAGAGGAACAGCTGGGTGATAATATCGAACCTCCTGGAGCATTAGACTTTAAAAACACAGGCTGTCCTCTGTCTTTTCCTAGGAATCAACAGTTTAAACTATTGCTTGGGAAAATTACATAGAAACTACTGGTTCACTGCATTATGATCAACCATACACGAATGCCAAGCAAATCACAATTGTCACTCTGTAATCCGTTACCTGACGCAGTCCTGCCTTTAGTAGTAGAGGAGCAGAGCCAGCAGGAAAGCTGCCAGGTCCCAATGTTCTGTGTTTTCATTAGCAGGGTTAACTAGAGCTAAGTCACTGTGTGTACAAGGCTGGAGGCAGGCTTTAAAGAGCTGCGTACACAGCCAGTCAATGCATGTGCTGTGTAGTGTTGGGCATTTTGGCTCGTATCTCGCCCTGCTGTGATAATCACCTGAGAAAAGAGAACATCTTTTTCTGAGAGGTCACGCTAACATCTGATTTGTCACATGGGTTAGAGCAGGAAGATGAAACAAGAAGTGGAGAAGGAAAAAAAAACACAAGAAGAAGGGGAAAAAAGGTCAGGAGCAAATCAAAGAAAGCCAAAGAGAAGATGAAATGAAAAAATCAATACAGAGAAGTACAAAAAGTCTCAAATTTGTTTTGTTCAACAAGCAAACTATCTGCTTCTCTAGTCTGATGTTATTGGCAATTTCTGGGTCTAAAAAGTTGCTTCAGTTTCCATAAACACAAACAGTGAAACACCATTAAGAGTTAAAAACAGTCCAAATTCTTTCAGCTCCAATAAAAAAATTAATGTGGCTCAACTCCCAGGTGTGACAATAAACTTTAAAATCCTTTAAAAAAGGATCTATGATGTTTAGAGGAGCTAGAAGTTTGGTCCCAGTAACACGGTCCAGGTCCAAGGACCAGTTGGTGAACATCTGGCAACCACTGGTCGCTAAGCAAAAAATGTGTATTCCTCTGGGATTATGTATTCCCTAGGTGCTATTAACACAGGCCTTAATACCAGTCACCATCCCCCCCGGCAACTGCTGGTTACCAGAGGAAATATTATAGTGGTTGCTGGCAGTTGCTAGTGTGAAATTGATCGCAAACAGCAAAGAGCCAGCAATCACTTGCTAACTAGTTGGGGAATGCACATTTTTGCCACCTATTTGAGGTTATAAGATGATCGCTGATTGGTTTCTGGGTTTGTGTGACTGAGGCCTTGGCAGGAAGCCAGCTAGCTAGCTAGAACTTTGCTATAAGTTGCAATAAATCTGGAAGTAAATGAAGATGGAAAACCAAATATCAGTGATGTTTGAAGGGTTAGTGAAGTTGGGTCATAGTTGGTTAGTTGGAGAGCTTTGGGTAGACTAATATAAACTAGTGCTAATATAAACTAACGCGGCAAACCTCCGTTAGCGAGTTATGGCGGATTGCCCCGTGCGTGGGACGATCCGCCATAACTCGCTAACCGAGGTTTGCCAAGTTAATGCGGTTATGGCGTTAATGTCATTTTAATGAGATTAACACTGACAACACTAATATAAAAACACGAGCACTGGGTAGGATGAAGGTTAAATTGTCTTCAATAAAAGTAAATGCTGAGGGTCCTTGATTGGCACATTCAAACGCCATCATATAACAGGGAGGAGACACCAAAAATGGACTTTTTCGTACATCTGAGATGAGCCCATCCGCAACATAAGGTTAGTCATTACCATGTTGATTGGTTTGGATTACTGGCTATGAAAAAGTCCTTAATAGTCTAAACCTTAGTAGGCCTCTGTGTGATTATTCCATAAGCTCTTCGATGTTTTGTTTCCAGGGCTGTAGTGTACACTTAATTTTTAAAATCTCAGTCGAATGATGTGCTACGCATGAATAGCGCCAATAAAAAGTAGAGGCAGAGAATGATGACCAAATAGGGGGCTTGAGTCTACAAGAAAAACAACGGAGCAGCATGTTAAAAATACAAGCGTCTCATCCAACACAGCAAACGCTTTGACTTGGAGAAAGTGTTGTTATCGCATTGCTTAACAAAAAGATTGCCAGCACCATAGCCCCAGGAAATTAAAAGTATTATTTGATCTGCAGAGATGAGACTCTGTATATCATTTACTCTTTTTAACCACAATGGCAAGGTGGCAGTTCAAAAGAAATTTGGAGGAAATCAAAGCAGAAAGTCACGGGGCCCCTCAGAAAATTCAAAGGCTTAAAGCCAAATATGAAACCTTCCTCCATTTCTGCTGAGAATGGAAATCATGTTTAGAACTGGAGAATATCTGATCCGGCAAAAATAATCAGATTTCATACTGCTTCACACCGAAGGCCAAGTGGACTCAGACTCAAAAGAGCAGGCTTTCATGGACTTAACTACATACTCCAAAAGAGGGGTGTGAGGAAGCACACATGCCACAAATGTAGATCAAAGATCCAAAAACCAATCCATAACATCCAAAAGTTCCAGATTCGAATCCTTTTCCACTTTGTTTGTACCCAGAAAAACACAATTATAAAAAATAATGTGTGCTAAATGGGGTTCTTCATTTTGTTAGTCTGACTTTGTTAGTTTCTTTGTGTTTTTGGTTTAAATGTAATCATTTGTTGCAAAAATAAAAATCCCAAACATACGGTTATAAAAACAATGAAGCACCAGCTAAATGAAACTTCCAGGATTTAGAGTTCAGTCCTGATCCACTTGTTCTTTTTAAACAGTGTTTCAAGTATGTGTGGCCATTAGTGGTTAGTGGTGGTAAAAGACACTGGACGCCAGTGGTGTATGTGGTTATGTAGCTTCAGCGGACAGAAGGGACATTGTGTTTGATGATAACATTTAGCGTAACAGCCTGTGGGGAAACACATTCACAGTTTATAGCCGCAGACAGGATCGTGTTTATCCACTTCTATGGTTTGGGGTTTCATGAACTCACCTCGCTCTTTCTTTTCCTTTGAAAAGGAGTCAAACTTCCTGCGCAGAGATTTTCTTCGCTTGTGAGTTTCTGTGGGAAGAAAGAAAAGGTCACAGTCAATACAGTTTGTTTCTGATGCTCAAGTATGTGTTTGCTTTAGCTTGAACAATGAAGTCTGTGTCACAGTCGGTCTGGGATGTCTGTCTTTTGTTACTGTTGTACATCAATGAGATGTGCCGATCACCAGCTTTTATCTGTACATGAACCCAAATACTACCATCCATCCGTCCGTCCGTCCGTCCATCCATCCATCCATCCATCCATCCATCCATCCTGCCCTCTATGCCTCCTTCCGAAAGCACATATGTGAAAGGACTCACCCAGGAGGCATAGAGGGCAATCTCATCGGCCACCTCAGCTACTCCTTACTATAGAGTAAATTAGTTTAGTTTTACTTCACTTCAACTGTAGATTTGCTTTTTGTTTCAAAAGTCTGTATTAAATAGAAAAAAGTCTTTATTTCTGAAAATTATTTAGATTGTAATTTTTCTATTAGTTTTTGATTTTTATTATAATTATTACTTATTATAATATGATGTGTATTGATCAGGGAAAGAGTTACAAAGTTCAGAACAAGCATCACAATCCAAATGCAAAGTTTCATGACCCACGGTGAGAACACTAAAACCTATAAAAACAAACAAAAAACAAAACTGTGTATCTAAAACCCAGCATTTAAACTTTTTAATTAAATCAATTTCTAAAATCAAACACAGTCTTACAGCATTATGTAAAATTGTCACAATTTTTAATGTACTAATTTGTGATTATGAATAATTATGAATTTTCCTGTTTTGGTGGGTTTTTTAAAACCTGATTGGTTTATTGACTGTCCTCGTCTGCTTCCCTGTATATAAAAGAAGTATTTCATGGGGCATTAAATTAGATTTACGCTTTAAACAGCACTCGTTTGGATTTGTGTACATGAACACAAACTAATTAGTTATAATTTAATGAATAGTTTATGATACCAGGCTGGTATATCAATGGTATGAGGTGGAGTAAGTATAAATGTATTAAATCCATACTTATAACCTTGATCATGGAAGTAATATGTCCTTTTAAACAGACACCACCAATCAGGCTCACCCTCAATACGACATTTACTTTTTCTTTTCCTCTTCGTCTCACTTGTTATCTTCTGCTTTCACCTCTTCCTCAGTTCTAATTCGAGAGCAGAACTTTTTCAATAGACTGAGTCTGTTTAGTGTTTTTGAATAGCCCACTCTGTCTAATGGCCCTTGACATGCTGGATGAAGGGAGATTTATTGTTGCATGTGTGTATCTATAAGTAAGATACAAAGAGAGGTAAATAAATCGAGGAAAAGTATCTTTGAAGATAACAGGTGATTGTAAAAAAAATGCCAAAACACAAAATGAGCTCTGGCAAAAAAAGATTTTAAGACTGAAATCTACTTTAGTACGAGAAAAAAAAGGATGGAGAAAAGATTTATGATGTACCTTGAAAATTCAATTTAAGGCGACACAGTACCACAACACGCCTGTTTTTTCATGCACTTTCAATTTTGACATTTTAAATATATTTTACATAAATGTATTTGTGACCAAAATACATATATTGTTTAGCTTGTTTAAGCTTCACGATCGTACCCCCCACCATGCCTCGTAATTTCATAAAAGAAATGAAATCATCGTATTATAGTCAAAATTACTGATTGTTTACCGATTTAAATATTTACACCTAATACTTACACTGGCAAGCTAGCTTAATACATGATAGCTGATTGCTATACAGCTTTCTTTTTGGCTCCTGACAGTATTTCTTCTTCTTCTTCTTCAAAAAAAAAAAAACAACCTCTGTTTAAACTCTATGTCAACTAAAAGACAAAAACAACAACTTCCGTTGCCTGAAGGTGCTTTATATTGTAACGCAAAGACTGTATAGACTCCTACACTTTCTATAAAGGTCTTGGCTGATATTTGGATAGATGTAAAACCTCATTTTCATAAATTTCATAAAACTGACAATACAAAAAAAACATTTGAGTGTACCTAATAATTTGGAGAAGATTTCTGATGAAATGTTTACCCTGCCTGGGTTTTTCCCCTTAACTTCAGTCAGAGTTGAAAAACAACCACTGCTGACATTTCTACTTCCTCTTTGCACTTTTTAAATAAAATACTGTGAACTACATCCTCAAAACAGAAAATCTGACGGTGTGTATGTTTTGTTACAAGTGGGATATTTTTTATTTTTAGGAACTCTACAGCCTCGCACTCTGGCTTTGCTTTAGCAAAGCTGCTGTTTAGAAATCACCAATTCAAAGTCAGACCTTTTCCCTATTAAGGAATCACTGCTGTTACCTTCATGGCAAGTAATGCTGCCCGGCCTGTTTGTGACACTTTAAAGTACGGACATTCTTTTCCCTCTTTTTTTCCTGCTTTAATCAAAAAAAAATTAGAAAAAAATGAAAGTAGCAGGGAGCAGATGAAGGCCGCTGTGTGCTGCTGGGATAAAGAGGTCAAATTCTCATGACTGCAGGAAATTAAAGTTTATTTCCAAAGCACACAGCCCCTCCCATCGAACGCACGCCTCATCCAGCTGAGGCTGATCTGCTACTGATGAGTGTGTGCATGTACATGATTACGTAATGCACATTCACAGGGAGATAAGGTGACAGACAAGACAAAAACAAAGAGGGGATAAACAGCCCAGGCTTTGATGTGTAAAAGACTCGGCTACCTTCCTGCGCTCTGACAGAAGATGTTTGACGGAGGAAATCAAGGAAAATGATGCATTCAATGTCAATCGCAGGTATCTAACATCTCCTGCAGGCCTAATGAACAACCAGAAACATTTCATGCATGTTGCTACCTCTGCCAGATCTATTTTACAATCTATGACTGGCTGATTAAGAAGTGCATACGTGCAGGTACAGTGTTTAAATTCATTCAGAACCTCAATGTCACACTATTTCTCTGAGCTGATTGTTAAACAGGCCATCTTTATTTATTACTGATGAACAGACGCATGGCTACTGTTTTGGATTTTATCTCCTAACCCCAGTTTACCATCCCGTTTTGGTTGTTGTTTGTTTGTCTCTTCACCATTTTGGCTCTGACTGATGTTTGCAGCCCCTGAGGTCAAGTGTGCCGGACGCAGGGGGCCAAGGGACCACTGAATCCTTCCCATCTACTCCGAGACTTCTGGTAAAATAATTCAGGATTCGCAGAACAGGCACGTGTGCTTTTGTTTACTTCTTATTTGTGAGTAATACCACTGTGAATTTGAACTGGAGCAATACTGGCAGGACAGATGCTGTGGTTTCAGTCACGTTAGCCGATTGTTAGGTTTGCTTAATTATGTTCTTAGAGCCTTAAAAAACATCAGATCATACATGCACAATGAACATGGCTGCAATAATATGAGTCAATTGCCTCGAACAGCCCATACTTTAAGCAATGTTTTACTCTGTGGTGTTCTTTTTTTTATGTGTTGCAGGCATAGGAACCAAATGCAAAACTAACATAAACATTAGCAGGAAACACAGAGGCAAGTAACTGACACTGGGGATGGGTTGATAGATGTTTCAAAACACTGCTCCAAAGTGTGGTTAAAAACACCCATGTCACATGACCATGGCTGCATGTCACCGTGGTGACAGGTCTCTCTAATCACACTGACTGCCTGTATCCTCATTATATACTGCCACTTCATTAGGTATACCTATTCAACTGCTCCTTGACACAAATATCAGC